CTAGTGTTCGGTTGTATACACATGAACCTAATGTGTCCGCTCAAGAATTCCTTTATTACTGCCTGAGACAGTTCCCATCAAAGCAAGGTGACGACCAAGGTGACGAACAAGGTGACGAACAAGGTGACGACCAAGGTGACGAACAAGGTGACGAACAAGGTGACGAACAAGGTGACGACCAAGGTGACGAACAAGGTGACGAACAAGGTGACGACCAAGGAGACGAACAAGGTGACGACCAAGGTGACGACCAAGGTGACGAACAAGGTGACGAACAAGGTGACGAACAAGGTGACGACCAAGGTGACGAACAAGGTGACGACCAAGGTGACGACCAAGGTGACGAACAAGGTGACGACCAAGGTGACGAACAAGGTGACGAACAAGGTGACGACCAAGGTGACGACCAAGGTGACGAACAAGGTGACTAACAAGGTGACGACCAAGGTGACGACCAAGTGACGACAAGGTGACGAACAAGGTGACGACCAAGGTGACGAACAAGGTGACGACCAAGGTGACAACCAAGGTGACGAACAAGGTGACGACCAAGGTGACGATCAAGGTGACGAACAAGGTGACGACCAAGGTGACGACCAAGGTGACGAACAAGGTGACGACCAAGGTGACGACCAAGGTGACGACCAAGGTGACGACCAAGGTGACGACCAAGGTGACGACCAAGGTGACGAACAAGGTGACGACCAAGGTGACGACCAAGGTGACGACCAAGGTGACGAACAAGGTGACGAACAAGGTGACGACCAAGGTGACGACCAAGGTGACGAACAAGGTGACGAACAAGGTGACGAACAAGGTGACGACCAAGGTGACGAACAAGGTGACGAACAAGGTGACGACCAAGGTGACGACCAAGGTGACGACCAAGGTGACGAACCAAGGTGACGACAAGGTGACGAACAAGGTGACGAACAAGGTGACGAACCAAAGGTGACGAACAAGGTGACGAACAAGGTGACGACCAAGGTGACGACCAAGGTGACGACCAAGGTGACGACCAAGGTGACGACCAAGGTGACGAACAAGGTGACGACCAAGGTGACGAAACACGAACAATCACAATAAAACAACAGCTGTCAAAACCTTGAAGGGATCGAGATACGTTCGACGGAGAACATTTGAAAAACAATACATGTCTTCTTTACAGGAAGAAACATGGTGTCTGGAAAGGTAACCTCCCATAATGCGTATAGGACATCCTGGTAGCGTACACTGACCTCATGAGTCTAGAAGCATACCCAGCAGGGTTCACTGCGCCTCAGTCAAGAGGCAACAACAGATAAGTGTACTGGCTTAATTAATAAAAAAAACAAGGTTAAAACTTGACAGTGACCGCATGTGTACAAAGGCAGAATTGGCAGCTTGCAGTGACTTCAGCGTTAAGAAGCAAGCTGGGTACGACTTCCACTCACCACTGTAATATTAAACATTTGGTAATTTGCTCAACCTGCTTGTCATATAATGCTGATAAATTAAGTTTTCATTTCTCCAACACACTAATAAATGAATCTAAGATAGGGGCAATTATTTTTTAGATTATTTAAGTATTCTTGAGAAGACGCTGGTTGTCTCCATCAAGGTAGACTCAACCAGAACACTCACATGACGCCTGAACCTCCACCAGGGTAGGAAATACCTGGGATAAACGTTAATTGACGTCAACGCTACAGCTAAAATACACATCAGGGGAGAGAGAGATACGTATTTAAAACAGCTCAAATACACATCGGTTCAGCAACACTGTGTTCTGGTAGAGTGGTTCAACAACACTGTGCTCTGGTACAGTGGTTCAGCAACACTGTGTTCTGATACAGTGGTTCAGCAACACTGTTCTGGTACATTGGTTCAGCAACACTGTGCTCTGGTACACTGGTTCAACAACACTGTGTTCTGGTACAGTGGTTCAGCAACACTGTTCTCTGGTACAGTGGTTCAGCAACACTGTTCTCTTTGTAGATGAATGGTTCACAGAACCGACACATTGATAAATTAGACACATGTGCAATTCTTGGGTATCTTTATTAAGGAAACGTTTCGCCACACAGTGGCTTCATCAGTCCATACACAGGAGAAACTTGAAGAACAGGAGGAGAATGAGATAATCAGTCCCTCAACCTTGAGTCGATGTGGTCAGTCCATCAATCTTGAATAGAATACGGCATATGTGCGGAGAAGCAGCTTATGAACCGTAGGCAGGAGAGGTGCAGCAGTCGTAGGTGATGTCACATTTCCTCAATTTTTTGAGGGACTGATTACCTCATTCTCCTCCTGTTCTTCAAGTTTCTCCTGTGTATGGACTGATGAAGCCACTGTGTGGCGAAACGTTTCCCTAATAAAGATACCCAAGAGTTGCACATGTGTCTAATTTATCAACACTGTTCTCTGGTATAGTGTATAATATTAGTAATATTACTAAAAATGTGTTAGGTACCAGACGCAAGAGTAACAAGTGTCATCTATTATGCCACATTTCGCTCACCAGGAGCTTTATCAAGCCAGCACCAACAATACACACTCACAGATAATTTGTATTGGGAAGATGGTGGAGAACAGGAAGGTCATCGGTACTGTGGGAGGTCCACAGGCCCAGGCTTGTAGCACTCAACTCTTTGTTACAAATTTTATGTCAGTTTCTCACAGCATTTTCAGGAAATTTCTCGAGTTACCTTAGTTCATGTTAGGTTATGTTAGTTTATATTATGTTATGGGTGGCCCTGTGGCCTGGTGGCTAAAGCTCTCGCTTCACACGGCAAGTGTCCGGGTTCGATGCCCAGTTAGGGTAAAAACACGGGGCATGTTTCCTTACACCGGTTGTTTATGTTCCCCATCAGTAAAATGGGTACCTGGGAGTTAATCGACTGCTGTGGGTCGCATCCTGGGACAAAACTGACTAATTTACCCGAAATGCTCTGCATAACAAGCAGCTTTCTATATAGTAGTATATCATTGATCTCAGCTAGGTCTGTATACCTTGTACAAGTACTTGTAGAAATATATATATATATATATATATATATATATATATATATATATATATATATATATATATATATATATATATATATCATTAGGTTAGGTTAGGCTAGGTTAGGTTAGGTTGGGTTGGGATAGGTTGGGTTGGGATAGGTTAGGTTGGGTTGGGTTGGGTTGGGCTGGGTTGGGTTGGGTTAGGTTAGGTTAGGCTAAGTTGGGTTGGGTTGGGTTGGGTTGGGTTAGGTTAGGCTAAGTTGGGTTGGGTTGAGTTGGGTTGGGTTGGGATGGGTTGGGTTAGGTTAGGTTAATTTAGATTAGGTTAAGTTGGGCAAAATTAGACCATTCATCACAACTGTCAGACACTGCAGCATCATGGGATCTTGTTACAAAGAATTCTTCAACACTTGTTCAACCTTTGGACGAAGACCTACTTCGACTAGTGGATGGTACCACTATGACCCCGCCTCCATCTGCTTCACGTCACCTCACTACAGTATATAAGCCACGTCTACGGCCCTATGCTGTACATTCTACAAGATTGATGGAATGAACACATCGACTCCAGGTTGAGGGACTGATTACCTCATTCTCCTCCTCTCCTTACGCCTTCCTCTTTGTATTGGACTGATGAAGCCACTGTGTGGCGAAACGTTTCCTGAATAAAGATTCCTATATGCTGCATAAGTGTCTCAATCTTCAACATGTCGGTTTTTCAAACCATTCATCACAGGATGGTATTTAATATTTATCGAAGCGTTGTGTTGTTGTTCGGTTTTCAGGGGAGTCCTCCTGATTCAACAACAAAAAAAAACTTTACAGACAGTCATTTGGAAATCCTTCTCATTCCATAAAAAAAAAACCTCTGCAGTCATACGGGCAGTGTATGGATTCCCTATCAGCGGCGTCTTGGCAAACTTACATTACCTGGAGTTTACCTGGAGAGGGTTTCCCCAGCAGTATCACATGGGAGCGACACGTGGACGATGTCCTTGTAATAATCACTACCTAAACGTTTTGACATCTAGAATGCAGAGGTTTTACCAAGATGAACCCCACGATCCAGTTATTTGCAGAGAACAACGACAGGTTACCATTTTTGGACGTAATCATCAACAAAGAAGATACCGTTTTTAAATTTCAAGTCAGTAGTAAGTCGAAAAGAATATAAATGACCTCACACACACTACAAGATACTAAGAGGAAAGGAAACATCGTTATCCATCTTTTTTGTGAGCATAATACGTGGTATGAATCTTGGTAATACCCATATATTAACAAAAAAAAGGCACAATACCGTGACTGGAACGATACGCAAATAACCCGCACATAAAAGAGAGAAGCTTACGACGACGTTTCGGTCCGCTTTGGACCATTTACAAAGTCACATTGTTATTTGTGTACCCATATATTGGTAAAAAACAAAAAAAAGGGTGAGCAAACACTAGAGCAAATTAGAAAATGATTCAGTTCTGGGAACTTGATCACTTCTAACATACAGAGGTCGAAAAAACAGTTTACATAGGCTGGAAGTGAGGTGTGAGTCACAGCCTGGGGAGCATGTCACAGCCTGGGGAACATGTCACAGCCTGGGGAGCATGTGTGTCTGTCCCTCATGTTACGACACAGGTTAACACCCCCCTGGTACTGCGCTCTGGTTAATATTGATGTAAGTCTGGAAGTTCCCACACATTCAAGTGGCTGTTTATTATTGTCAGTCATCTCGTCTCTTACACCTTTGGAGTGGAAAAATAAAGTAACTTTGATAAAGCTAAAAATTAGCAGATAATGTTAATATTGCAGAAATAAATAATGTGAGGGAACAGAAATGGTAGAAAATGTGGAATGTTGCGCATAAGAAATATGAACATATAATCCATTAAGTTAATCTTGATATTGGCACCTGTGCTATAGTAGCGTCTAGTCTAAACTAGTACTGACTACATGACTTAGTTTAGTCCGTCCCTCCTGCCTCCCTCCCCTCCCTCCAACGCAAACCCAACCCAACGGCCTTTAGTTCCCTCCCCGCCTCTAAACCATTAGTTCCATACCTCTCCTCCCCTCCAGTCACCTGCGGACTGTCCAGGGTATAAGACTGCAGGGACAGTCATTAGCAGCTGAGAGCTCCTCTAGCAGTAATCAGGCCAGGACCATCACATCAACATGAAAGTGGTAAGTCATGATCTAACATGATATCGTTTTTTCTAAGATATATGTTAAGATCTTAATATTTGACTGCAATATTTTACAAATTTCTTAATACTATAATAGTTTTTAGTGATATATTCGTCAGAAAGCAGCCTAGCCATGCTAGGTGTCCTAGTGGCCCCCTCTGTAATTAGCATTTTATAACATGTAAACCACACAATATCCAAACCTGTAAACCCCGCATTGTAACCCTTATAGAGAATAAACTTGATTGATTGATTAATTAAGTGGTCAAGCAAGTGCTGGCCTACTGGAAGCAATAGTTACCCAACAAGAGGTATTGTTAATGGCTGTTGGAGTTTTTTTATCCTGCAAACTTTCGTTTATAACTTGAGAACGACTTAACCGATCAGCTTTAACTCTTCATTGTTGGTTCACTCCAGGGAAAAGGGTTCATGGAACTATTGGCATGTGCAGGTACCGCTATGATCAGTATTATATAGTCACCCGAATTTCATTTCCATCTGTACCACGAGAAAGCCGCTTCTTTGAGTCTTAGAATTGTCTATACTAGTGTCTCCTTCCTGGAAGATGGTTGGCATTGATTGTAAGGACCATTTCGCTAATCTAACATCTAAAAAACGTGTTCTATTTTATTTACACAAAATATCTTGACAATAGCACACAAAATGCGTGATAAATACTACTACTACTACTAATAATAATAATAATAATAATAATAATACGTAATATTTTTATTTACTACAAGTACATGTACAAGGTATACAGGCCTAGCTGACATCAGTGACATACTGCTACACAGAAAGCCGCTTGTTATGCAGAGCATTTCGGGCAAATTAGGTCAGTTTTGTCCCAGGATGCGACCCACACCAGTCGACTAACACCCAGGTACCCATTATTACTGATAGGTGAACATAGACAACAGGTGTAAGTAAACACGTCCAATGTTTCCACCCCTTCACCGGGAATCGAACCCGGACCATCACCGTGTGAAGCGAAAGCTTTCGCTACCAGGCCATAGGAAAGTTGGTAGATGGATCTATAACTTTCCTAACACACAGAACACGAAGAGTACAGTAAAAAGAGTAAAGTCAAGGACTCCAGCGGAAATAAGCAGAAGGTAGTGAATGTTGTCATTTGGGCTTCTGCAAGTCCTGATATAAGAGGTGAGGTTCCTGGAGGATGCAGAGTTGGAAAGTCTTATTTGAACTTCCAGAATGGTGTACAGGAAATCAGGGTCGTTAACAGGGGCAGGAACAAAGGACAAAGTCTTTACTGGGACCTTAGGTGACTCAAAGAATAGTTTAATCCGATTAATGTGATAGACCTTACCCAAGTTGGGTTTACCCAGAGGTGCTATCACATAATTTAAATGAAAATTACTTTTTATCACTTGGATCGATCCCATAAATTTCGCTTTTAACGTGTGACCAGGCACAGGTTTCTGGACCAACACCTAGTCTCCTGGGTTAAGGGAGCGAAATTGAGAAGTTTTGTTATACATTTGTTTCATGGTGATTTGAGCTTTAAGTTGGCCTTAGCCAACTAACGAGCAACGCGCAATCTTGATGTAGGATCGTAGGGCGTCTTGTAGATGTCTTCTCCCAACCATCCTTCCTTAAGAACGTGTTGCGGACCTCTCACATTACGCCCAAAAATCAGCTCAAAAGGAATGTATGCAGCTGATTCCTACACCGTTTCTCATATTGCAAACAACAGCAGAAGTGATTCACACCAGTCTGTCAAAAAAAAAAAAAAAAAAAAAAAAAAAAAACGCATGCAATAAGTACGCATTATAGTTTTGAAGGTTTGGTGAAACCTGTCCAAAGCTCCTTGATATTGAGGATGATAGGCTGTGGACGGATTTTTATTAATTCGTAGCCGGTTTAAAGCTTCTCTGAATGCTTCTACTTTGAAATTAGTGCTCTTGTCATTCTGAATAGATCGCAGTGGAATGCTAAATTGGGAAATAAACTTAATGTGGGCCTTAAGAATGGCCTTATTATTAATGCTACTAATACGTACTTTCTCAAGATACCCAGTAGTTTTATCCATAATGGTAAAGATATATTGGTTACCCGACTTGGCCTTAGGTAAGGGTCCCATACAGTCGATGATTAGGTCCGCAAATGGTTCTCCATCCGCGGATATGGGACGAAGTGATGGGGGTTTAATGTAGTGTCTGGGTTTACCCACTTGCTGACACCCACGACAGAATCGAATGTAATTCCGCACCTCTCGTCTTGTACCTGGCCTATAAAAATGTTAGAGTACCCTGTAAAGGGTTGTAGTGACACTTAAATATCCACCTACGGACGAATTGTGAGCTACTTTCAGGACCTGAGGTCTGAATTTCTTTGGCACTAAAAGCCTATCTGATTTTTACACTACTACTACCTCCTTACCAGTAGCCGGACTAAATAGGTGATTGTTCGTGAGATATTTAGCAGAGTGACTAGAGTTGGATTCAACATTGGCAACTTTAAGAGTCGAAGCCAGTAACTGCTTCACTACAAAGAAACAAAAAAACTTTTAACTCAACATCGAGGTCGATAGGAACTCTCAAAAAATTACATTGTTTTCCCTGAAGTAACTTATTCTTTAATCCTTAAAAAGAATCATAAAATCTAATATTTTATATATTAATTATAACCATACTACTTTGACTGAACTGTAAATCCTTTGATCTCATTGTTAATGTGTGAAATCTACCCTCCCTCCCCCCATAAAAAAATATTCTGACCATCCTTTATCAAAAAAGTCAGTCCCTCGGGCATGGAAACAGGAGCGTCTGGTAATCCTGCATCCCCGGAATGGGAAGGTTTGATCTTGGACTTTTCACTAGATTTACGAGGCCCTGGCCAGTTATCCCTCATAAAATAATTTATCTAGCCCTGCACTGCAGTCCTCCAAGGTAAGGTCAGAATTCTCTTCAGACTTTCCTTTTGGACTTTGCCTGAGTAATGGCCAACACCGGAGAAGAGGTTTGTGTGTTTACAATAGGCTCGGGACACCATCTAGAATGTAGAACATTGTTGCCAAGGAACAATAAAACATCTTTCATGGGGACCCCCCCCCCAGACACACCTACAGTGAAATACCCAGTGTGATATTACCTTTTAATGAAAAACTCATGTAGAGGAACATAAAAGACTGCCTCCACAAAATATTCTAACACTGAGGAATTTAAAGATGTCCCCTCAAAATGGAAAGTACTTCCTCTTGTAAGAGGGAGATTTTACTATTACTTTAAAAAGGTGCAATACGGACATCTATATACCGCCGATTTGTTTCATCAATAAGCCTTATTTTGTTTCATCAATAACCCTTACTTTACTTGCGGCAGGTGGCCTTGATGTGACTAGGCTACAGCAGTAGTAATAGGTTATGGGTTCGGGAATCATGTTTCGTGCTCCTTGCTGGTTTTGAGGCACGCATCATTTTTCAAATCCAGCTTCCATCTTCGGACTAAATTCAGAGGTCTGTACACGACGATATCTGTCCATACCAAGCTGGTGGGAAGACTCAAAGATCGCTTGGACAAGGACCAGTTAGCTTCAAATGTGTCTGCATGCCTACCAGCCTCTATAGCAGTTGCCACAGAGTGGTCTAAGAAAACCCTTACTTCTGGTCCAACCGATTCAAGTAGATTGTTAATGAAGATCATTTTATTAGTTCACTGAAATTCGAGACACCAGTGGCCTCGTACTGAAAGTTTTTTTTTACTGTGCATGAACAAAGTCCATATAGGAATGACACAGTTGACGCTTGCTTAACTTGGAACACAATGATATGCATTGAGTACCGCCGCTTTCACAATGTAATTAGCAGTCTTCATCACTCATGCTAGCTGTGAATTCCTGTGCTTTGCCAGATAATGCTGTATGAACCAATGCTGCCCAGTGCTAGAGTGGCTATTGCAAAGCTCTAGCCTAATTTTTGAAAAACTTGAAAAACTGCTCAGGCTCAGAATTAGAAAACGTAGGTATTAGCAACACAGATTTCCGAACGCTGAAATTGTCACTAAATGTGTGCCGAATCTGTCTCTCCTCTCCTTCTTTTTATCAAATTCATCTTTAGCAAAGGCACGTTGCTCCCTGGTGTACTCAAAATTGAGTCTAGCTAACTCAAGTACTAACGAAGCTGACTCACCCCGAGACAAACCCGGTTCACCACCTGTCCTCCCCCATCATGATTACACAATCGAAACAGGGAACGGCACTTCAGCAGTTGAAGTCTCAGGTTGGAGTGCCATATTGTACGAGTCAGACCTTGTTGCGGATACACTCACGAAGCTGTGCACCAGTAAGAGTGCACTGATACTCTATGTCAATAGAACGAGCAATCACCAGCAGTACTGTAGTGATAGTTTGGGCAAGTTTTGTAGGGTATATTCAGTCTCAAAAATCCTAACACGCGTTGGTTGCACAACCCACCAGTACTATAACAAAACGCTAACCTTTGCAATATGCTCAACGCAATATGCAGCAATAGCTTGCAACAACGTAGCAGGTTTGCAACGCAACAACATAGGCTCGTAGAAACAATGTACCTGACAATGGATCCTGGACAAGCTCCTATATTACAAACACAGGTGTAGTCTTGCGCTCTGTACACCTGCTCGTAGTACGATAACCAAGGTAGGAATGAGGAAAAAGCAAAAGTCAGCAGTGAGTAAATACTTATATTATTATTTCCCTTCACTAATAAACATGCAAGAATATGTACAGTGTATATACACTATGAACAAAATAACAAGTTTGTAAGCTAGAAACACTGTGAGAACTGTGAGCAACCTGACTTGAGGTAAGTCTGCCAGTTTTGATCCACGAGCCTCATGCATCGCTTTACAACTTTGGTGGGCTTCCCTGTACTGGCTGGGCTGAACCGTGGTGCTAGCATAACAGGGAATCCCTGCCTGCTATACTCTAAGCAGCTGGTTCGCTGGTCGGGAGGGCATGTCTATAAGGGTGTGTTATATACACCATATAAGTACTCTTAGCATGCCACAGAGATCAACCTGAGATGTACTCGGTCTCGCCAGAGTCTTTCTTCGTAACTTATATCTTAGTTTTCCAATGTGTTTACTTGATCGTCCTTAATTTATTTCTAAATTAAGCAACTTTTTTTTCAGTTTCAGCATATTTCAGAATGGTTGGAGAAAGTTAAGAGAAAACAGAAAGCTCTCAGGTTACTATTTTAGTGTCAACTATTATGAAAATTTGTGATAGTTGGTTCAAATAAACATAGTGCATCCATCTGGACCATTGGAAATTTGCTGTTATCTGCTTCTTTCAGTTTTTTCTCTTTGTATTTATCTGTTTGTCGCCATTCATATATGCTGTTAAACACATTTCTCAAGATGTTATCTGTTAACCTTTGCTTTTTTTTTTTTCTTCCACAGATACTGTTAGTGATGGCAGTGTGGCTCATAGGGATGGCCCTGGCCACACCTGACCCTCTGGCACTGCCTGGCCCTGCACCTCATCCTGTGGCACTGCCTGACCCTGCACCTCACCCTGTGGCACTGCCTGACGCTTCACCTGATCCATCACCTGACCCTTCACCTGACCCATCACCTGATCCTTCACCTGACCCTTCACCTGACCCATCACCTGATCCTTCACCTGACCCATCACCTGATCCTTCACCTGACCCATCACCTGATCCTCGTGGTGGTGGTGGTGGTCATGGTGGTGGTGGTGGTCATGGTGGTGGTGGTGGTCATGGTGGTTTTGGTGGTCGTGGCGGTTTTCGTGGTCATGGCGGTTTTGGCGGTCATGGCGGTTTTCGTGGTCATGGCGGTTTTGGCGGTCATGGCGGTTTTCGTGGTCATGGCGGTTTTGGCGGTCGTGTTGGTTTTGGAGGGTATGGTGGTTACAGAGGCTATGGTGGATACAGAGGCTATGGTGGATACAGAGGCTATGGTGGATTCGGAGGCTATGGTGGGTACAGAGGCTATGGTGGGTACAGAGGCTATGGTGGTTACGTTGGTATTTATGGAAGCTATATATACTGCCCATACTATGGTTACTATGGTTACTTCAGTTACTGCCCATCCTATTGGTAATGTTATTACCGAGAAATAATTTTTCCACGGGCCTGCAAGTCGTCCTCTGTACACACTATAATATAGCCACTTGCTGTTATCCTATAAGGCTTTATAAAATGTGACACAAATCTGTATTTATTAATTATTTTATGATTAAAGTCAATAAAATTGTCGTTCCATAAGAGTCGTATTATTTATTGTCCTAAATGTGACATCTGTGAGATAAAACTATGTAATCCTATCGAGATGTAAGATATAATTACATGACCGATTTGACAGAGATTATCTCTGAAATCCGCTTCGTTAAAATTACAGTTTATGATGGAAATGTAATGCCAACAATGATTTCTAAGCGTTATGCGCATAGGTAATACTGGGTGATTTAACATCCCCTTAGGTGGGTGTGAGAGATATGCTGTTGGTAGCGCTCGTGAGGATTTGATGACAGACCAGCGTTCTCTGCACCTGTCTTCTACGTTCCGCCAGTGTGGAATCCCGTCCATGTCACCGTACCTAAGGAATACCAGGTGGATGTAGGTGAGAGTATGCTTCTGTTAGCACTCAGTTTCTCTGGTTTCGTTCTGAGGATAGATTATGATAAACTGTTCCACACGTTTCGCCCGTCGGAGATCGTGTCTCGCCTTCTGTATCGCCGTATATAGGGAATTCCATAGTATTAGTAAGTCTGCTTAAGCAATGAATGCGAGTACAACGTTACTCGGATTCGGTTATATATGTTACATACACAGTAACATATGTGAGTTTCCTAGGATATCCTAAGGAAGTCAGGAAGATAGACTTATCACCTCTGGAGTCCTAGTGTTAGAAAACAGTGCAACTGTCAAGCAACAGGGTAGGTAAATCTGATGGAAGTAGGTAAATATGTAGGGTCTTTGTAGAGAACCTTCTCTGCTGGCATTTTCTGGAACATTCTCTGGCGTATGATAGTATAAGTTGACAATTAGTGAATACGATTCGTATAACAATGCAATGTTACGTGAGTCTGGGAGTGCATTAAACACTTAGGTAAAATGATTCCGTATAGCAATAGATCGGTAGACGTTAATAACATGCCGTTTTGGGCTAACTACTGCGTTTTTTTCTTTTAATATTCCATAACTTGTTTTCTGTAAAGTTCTGAAATTCCCCCTTCCCCCATACTATTACACCATACAATCCTACGGATTTTATGGTGTATATATATATATATATATATATATATATATATATATATATATATATATATATATATATATATCTTCGTGTAAGGCACAGTGTTGATGGACGGGCTGGATGAAAACTTGAGGATCAGTCTATATGATTATGTTTTATGGAATATTGGTAATTTATATATTATATGTTGCATCCACTTTTTATACTATTACTTAACACATTACTATGGGTGTTTAATTTGTGTTTCTATACTTCTCTTAGTGACACTTGGGCCAACATGTGGCACAGTAAGGTGAAATAACTTGAAGATAAGCCTGGTGCTCCAGGGTAGAGAAAACAGTGCTTGGAGTCTCCTGGAAGGTTATATTTATCTGCTTTACTAATACTGTGTATTATCAGTACTTAAGTACAGGTTGTGAGAGATGGGACACATGAAGACTTACTTGAGTCATATGAATGTTAGAGAGTATTTATTGAGTGTCAAGACTTGTCAGGAAGTGGAACAAGTAGGGGCAGGATCCTTATATACCTTTAAGAAAAGGTACAATATGGCTGTCAAGGGTAGTAGAGAGTGAACCCAGTAACGGCTAGCGAGGAGGAGGGACCAGGAGCCGAGAATCGACCCCTGTCTCCATATATGGGTGAGTACATGTAAATGAATGGTTCAGATAACAGACAAGTTGATAAATTAGACATGTGCAACACTTGGGTATCTATATTGAGGAAACGTTTCGCCACACAGTGGCTTCATCGGTCCATACAAAGGAGAATGGTGAAGAACAGGAGTCTGAGGTAATCAGTCTCTCAGCCTTGAGTCGATGTGGTCAGTTCATTAATCTTGAAAAGAATACGGCATATGTGCGGAGAAGTGGCTTATATACCGTAGACAGGAGAGGTGCAGCAGTCGAAGAAGGTATCACATTTGTCCACTGTGGAAGTAGGTCGTGCCCAAGGATTAGGCAAGTGAAGCCACTGTGTGGCGAAACGTTTCCTCATTCAAGATACCCAAGTGTTGCACATGTGTAATTTATCAACTTGTCGGTTCTGTGAACCATTCGTCTACAATCCTGTCAGACACTGCAACATCTTGGGATCTTAATACAGGGAATTCTTCACTTGCCTAACCCTTGGGCACGACCTACTTCCAAAGTGGACAAATGTGATACCACCTACGACTGCTGCACCTCTCCTGCCTACGGTATATAAGCTACTTCTCCGCACATATGCTGTATTCTTTTCAAGACTGATGGACGGATTACATCAACTCCAGGCTGAGGGACTGATTACCTTAAACTCCTTCTGATCTTCACCATTCTTCCTTGTTTAGGACTGATGAAGCTACTGTGTGGCGAAACGTTTCCTCAGTAATGATACCCAAGTGGTGTGCATGTATCTAATTTATCAACTTGCCGGTTCTCTGAACCAGTTATCTACATGGGCCAGTTGTCTACATGAGCCAGTTGTTTACATGGGCCAGTTATCCTGCTGCAGTGCTTCTTCCACTCTTGTGTTCTTAAGAAACTTGACACTAGAAATTTACTTAGGCTTGTAGACACTATTTCCAGCTGCACTTTTTTCTCCACAAAAAAATTACGGGATAATATACTGTATAAGACACCCTCACTTAAAACAAATTAGCGGGGAAGGAAGTTCCAGTGTTGGGCAAGCAACAAGTGACGTAACTGGCATAATGAATAAATAATAATAATATCTTTATTTACTACAAGTACATGTGCAAGGTATACAGTCCTAGCTGACATCAGTGACATACTACTATATAGAAAGCCCCTTATTATGCAGAGCATTTCGGGTAAATTAGGTCAGTTTTGTCCCAGGATGTGACCCACACCAGTCGACTAACACCCAGGTACCCATTTTATATTGATGGGTAAACATGGACAGCAGGTGTCCTATGGAAACACGTCCCTCATGTTTTCCAGCCGTACGGGAGGAGATTCGAACTCCAGACCTCAGTGTGAGCTGAGTGCGCTACCGATCGAGCTCTTAATAATACTGATGTAACTCGGGAAATTCCAAAGTATCCTTGTGACTATCACCACCAGTGTTCGCTTCTCTCTCACTTGTTTATTGCTCAGGTAATTAAAGGTAACTTTGATAAACCTAATAATTAGTAAATAATGTTAATGTTGTAAACAAAGATAATGAAAGGAACCAATTATAGTGGAAAATGAGGCATCTGTACATAAGAAGCTAAAATTTTATAATTCAGAAAGATTATTTTGACATTGGCACCTGTATAATTGCATAAATCTTGCTCTCGATCATCCCTCCGTCCCGTCCTCCAACCCTTCCCCAACGTTCACCCCAATCCGTAATTATAATATAATTAGAATCATGGGGAGCGCTAAACCCGTAGAATTATAGAGCATGTGGGGAAGAGATGGAAGGTATTCAGGCTCAATTCAAGGAACTGGAGCACAGATCCAATTCCCTAGATTAAGAGCTCCTCATCAGCGTCAAGGAAACTCCCTTGAGGGGCCCCAATTCGTAACTTTGATATCCCTCTCCTTCCAGTCACCTGCTGACTGTCTAGGGTATAAGACTGGAGGGACAGTCATTAGCTGCAGAGACCTCCTCTAGCAGTAAGCTGGACGGGTTCATCACATCAACATGAAAGTGATACGTCATGATTTGGCAAACTCAATTTTTGTAAGAGGTGCAAAAGGGGAAGTATTCTCCAAATAATATGACTGTAATAACTGTGACCATCTGCTCGCCAGGAAAAAAGCAGACAGTCTCATGGCAAATAGTTTGATCACATGATGACTCGCTAAGTGGTCTAACATCCGCTAACCTACTGGAACTAAGTGATCAAACATCCGCTAGCCTACCGAAACTAAGTGGTCCAGTATCTGCTGGTTAAACAAGAAAAATCTTGCACTATGTGTAAAAATCAAAAGATCGTTACATAGTAAGAACGTAAGACAGTAATATGAGTTACTGTTGTAATGACACACTTCATATCCGCATCTGTGGAATACGACCTTGATTACGCAAAGCCTTCAATTTAGCGAGCAACACTATCACATATTACCTATGATTATAGTATCCTGGTGACCTTAATATCCTGGTGACCATGGTATCCTGGTGACCATGGTATCCTGGTGACCATGGTATCCTGGTGACCATGGTATCCTGGTGACCATGGTATCCTGGTGACCATGGTATCCTGGTAACCATGGTATCCTGGTGACCATGGTATCCTGGTAACCATGGTATCCTGGTGACCATGGTATCCTGGTAACCATGGTATCCTGGTAACCATGGTATCCTGGTGACCTTAATATGCTGGTGACCATGGTATCCTGGTAACCATGGTATCCTGGTGACCATGGTATCCTGGTAACCATGGTATCCTGGTGACCTTAATATCCTGGTGACCATGGTATCCTGGTAACCATGGTATCCTGGTGACCATGGTATCCTGGTAACCATGGTATCCTGGTGACCATGGTATCCTGGTAACCATGGTATCCTGGTGACCTTAATATGCTGGTGACCATGGTATCCTGGTGACTATGGTATCCTGGTAACCATGGTATCCTGGTAACCATGGTATCCTGGTAACCATGGTATCCTGGTGACCTTAATATGCTGGTGACCATGGTATCCTTGTAACCATGGTATCCTGGTAACCATGGTATCCTGGTGACCTTAATATCCTGGTGACCATGGTATCCTGGTAACCATGGTATCCTGGTAACCATGGTATCCTGGTGACCTTAATATGCTGGTGACCATGGTATCCTGGTGACCATTGTATCCTGGTAACCATGGTATCCTGGTGACCATGGTATCCTGGTAACCATGGTATCCTGGTGACCATGGTATCCTGGTAACCATGGTATCCTGGTAACCATGGTATCCTGGTAACCATGGTATCCTGGTAACCATGGTATCCTGGTAACCATGATATCCTGGTGACCATGGTATCCTGGTGACCATGGTATCCTGGTAACCATGGTATCCTGGTGAC